GGGGGGGGGGGGGGGGGGGGGGGGGGGCTGCAGATTACTGCTGGCAGAGGCATCCATCACAGCCCATCCCCCCATCCTGCACTAAACTTCAAATCCTGGCCTAACCCTTTCATAATTGACCTAATGGCCTCCACATGGAAGGCAGATAACCAAACACAGTTTCCAGTAAAACAAACTAGTTGTTTTGTTTTCCTGCAGCAGGAAGACACAAAAACAACAAGGCTTTTAAAGGATGAAAACAGAGCTTCTGTGATTTTTGTTTTCTTGTTGCCATACTGGCTGCTTTTTGAACCAGTTCACTGTGTCATCACTGACATGGTTCTGATCCATATTTGATTATTCAGATGAGGCATTAAGGCACGATCCTGTCCTGGCTCCTGTCTTCTCTTTGCATTTCATCCTATGCATCCCTTCATTTTCCTTTTCATTATCTCCTCATTTGAAAGACAAAATTAGAGGCAGACAGGTATCAGGACAGAACAAGGTTCAGTGTGAGAGAGTGCTGCAGCGTTGTGAGTGACAGCTCCTAGCAGACTCAGTCACAGTTTACACACTGTGGAGCTTCCTGCTGTGGCTCAGGGTTAATCCCAAACCTTTTTAAACAAGTCACTTCCCCGGCCCGCCTGCACACTGTGCATATCTGTGTGAACCACCAGCACATGTTTACCATTTCTTTCAGACGTTCTCAAAAAGATCATGTCAGCAGGAACACGCTGGTTCTACAGAGAGACACAAAGAAAAACAGGATTTCAACCACGAGTCATGACGCTGCACGTTTCCTCACGCCACTTCTCTTAAAATGTAGAAAACTAAATAAATAAAAATGACGTTTGGCCCTAACAGTCACAAATAATACAGCCTGCAGCAAACGGTCCTGTTGTAGCCAGAACAGAACCAGCAGCTTTTACTTCAGCTGGATTTGATTCTTTGATAAACTTAGTAGTACTAGTAGTAGTAGTAGTAGTAGTAGTAGTAGTAGTAGCAGTAGTAGTAGTAGTAGTAGTAGTAGTAGTAGCAGTAGTAGTAGTAG